AGATCAGATCAGATCAGATCAGATCAGATCAGATCAGATCAGATCAGATTAGATAGAAAGAAAAGAAAGAAAGAAAGAAAGAAAGAAAGAAAGAAAGACAGAAAGAAAGAAAGAAAGATAGATAGATATATAGATAGATCAAGATATAGATAGAAAGACACAGATAGATAGATACATAGATAGGTAGATAGATAGATAGATAGGTAGATAGATAGATAGATAGATACATAGATAGATAGATAGGTAGATAGATAGATAGACAGATAGACAGATAGACAGATAGACAGACAGATAGACTGATAGACTGATAGACAGATAGACAGATAGACAGATAGACAGATAGAGAGATAGAGAGATAGAGAGATAGACAGATGGATAGATAGACACACAGGCAGAGATAGATAGATAGATGGATAGATAGATAGATAGACAGATAGACAGATAGACAGATAGACAGATAGCCAGACAGACAGACAGACAGACAGGTAGACAGACCGACGGACAGACAGACCGACAGACAGACATATAGATAGATAGATAGATAGATGGATGGATGGATGGATGGATGGATAGATAGATAGATAGATAGATTCATAGATTCATAGATTCATCGAATAGATAATAAACGAAAAGATAAGAAAAGTTGAGATAAATTAAGATAAGATGGACAGATAGATAGATAGATAGATAGCTAGATAGAAAGAACAAATAGTTTCGATTAGATTAGCTTGGGCTAGAGCAGATTAGATTAGATTAGTAGATAGATCGATAGATAGATAGAGAGATCGATAGATAGATAGGATTTGCGAAGTGCCAATCATAGAACCAGCTAGTGGGTATATGAACTCGCGCTTTCATGATTACTAGTTGTTACTATTTCTGGAGATATCAGAGAGTCCACGGCTCGTGTTGGCGAAGCAAGCTGCCTATTCATTCAGGAGTGAAAAAAATGTTGCTCAACTAAGGCCATCTCGAACCTACGATTCCTCCACAATCAGACGGAGGTGCGGCAGATGTTAGCTATAAGGCTGCAATTGCAGCAGCTATACCAATTATTCAACCCTTTTGTGCGGACAGGCATTCATTGACCGAGACATAGTGCGCACAGTAATGCAAAACAGATTGAATTTGCTTGTGTCCGATGCTTCAGGAAGACGGGCTGGCACCTGAAGAAGATAGGCTGGCATCTGAGGAAGAGGACGGATTAGCCTCAGAGGACGAGCGTTTGGAACGAGAAGCAGCTGCAAGAGAAGCAGAAGAGGCCAATAGCAGTGGGGTGGTGCTGTGAAAGACAGGGGGATTACAAGTTAAAAGAGATTAGATATGATTAACTTAAACCTCATTTGGTCAGTTTTCAGCACTTAGACGCAGATACCGTACCTGGGCCTTTTGCAAGTTATTTTTCTACCATTGAGTTGCAGCAGGTCCATCAGTGGGAAGTGGAAGATGTTGTGGTGGCTTGGCCCAATCTTAGTTTTGCTTTGCTTCACCTTGTATACGGCAAAGTCGAAAATCGAAAGCATGACTGGAAGCAAAATGCAAGTCTATTTCGGCGGGTCGCTTTTATCGGTAAATGTTCACAAAGAATTCACAAGGACATACAAAGACCATGTTGGCGCCATCACTTTTTTCAAGCGCCTGACAAAGCCCACAGCGGTAGATGGGTAAATCACGGATCATTTGTACCATTTTGTAGCAGGTCTATCAAGCACCTTCAGTGTCAAGGATCATTGTGCATCATGGGGCAGTGATTTCAAGCATCACACAGTGCAAAGTGAAAGGAACTGCATGGCCTGGAATCTGCTGCCCTCAACGGCCAGGCGTGATAGGGAAGCAAAAGGCAAACATATTGGTAGATTATGCATTGATACATCTTGAAATCATGCTGATACATGTGAAATAGTTCAGTTATCCCCCTGGTTTTTTCCTATTACTTTTTTGGATTTCTTGCAGGCTTACGCAGTAGAAACACCGAATTCCAAGTTCCTTTTCCGCCCTTCATCCAGACATAATTTTTGGAATGATAGCCTTACTGATGATGACCAAGTTTATATATCTTTGGATATTGCACAACACATCGGTACACACTTGCGGATCAATGTCTTCTATTCCAATGTTCATTAAGTGTGGCCTCTTTGACCCATGAAAATAACTTATTGACACATGTTCTTGGAGTTGAAGAGTTACTGTACGCTGACCTCCCGATTTTCTACATGGGTTTTCCCCAGTGTGGTTTCTTGGGATTGTTTTTTTTTCCTCCTCCCACTTGTGGGATCGTGATCGCAAGTGTGTAGCGCGTATTGCCATCAGAAGATTCATGATGCAACCCTCACCTGCATCGTTGGCCGAATTGTAGTACTGGAAATCGCAGACCAGCAGTTGGCAAAAAAAGGTTCCTCCCGGCATGCCCAAGCCCTGCAGGAGTTAGATCAATGCAAAGTGCAAGTGAATGACCTCCGGTCAGCTCAAGAACAGCTCGCAGAAATCACAGAGATTTCAAAGGAGTTCCGTGTGCTTAGCACATTGTCATCGGTACGCACATGCGGATCTTTGTTAATTAAGTGTGGCCCCTTATTGACACATGTTCTTGGAGTTGAAGAGTTACTGTAAGCTGGGCTCCTACTTTGTGATGCTGATGTTTCGCGTCGCTTTCGCAGGAGCGCGACGAAAGCAGCGAAGAGATTGCCCGAATGCATACTCTGGAAGAAAAATACAAGGCAGAGATAGCCCAGCTTGCTAAGGACAGTCAGGTTGTTTCCAGTTTCACGCGAATACAGTGACCCATTATGATTATTTTAGCACGGTCTCCACCCCAAAATAAAGGACATGTTTTCGTGGAGGCCAACAATGACATGCAATGATAACATGTAACGACTTAGTCACGTTGCTTTTTAGGTTGCTTGATTGACTGATTGATTGTTTATTGTAGATGCATGATTTGTCAGGATCATTCATGTGTGCGAAGGCCTTTACTCCCAACATGCCCAAGTCTTGTAAATGATCCGAACATGCAGGAGTTGGATGATGCGAGATCACTGGTGAACGAATTCCGGAAAACTGAAGAAGAACACCTCGCAGAAATTGCTTGTATATCCAAGGAGCTTGAAAGCTTTGAGCCTTTGGTATCCCTTGGGTGCATTATGGTGCATTACTGGCTTCTTCCGTGAGAGCATGCAAGAACAATCAAGAAATGTCCTTATTTTTCCGAACTCCCAGACCCATGCATCTCAGTCCAGACAGAATCAATTCTTAAAGGCAGACCGACCGATTTGTTCTACTTTGTGATGCTCATAGTTCCTTTCACTTTTGCAGGAGCGCGACGAATTGAAAGAAAAATACGAAGCAGAGGTGTCTCAGCTGTAAGATGAACAATTTCTCAGTAGATGTGCTGTAGTTATGCCAAGTATTCGATTGTCGAACCCTCAATTGGATGGTTTTAGGACAGAGACTAGAGTGCCAATCCATTCACAGAGAATACATTCAGTTGGCAAGAAAAGATTCATAAGGCTTGTGAAAAAACATGGGAATGAAAAAACCTGCTGTCAAAACACACGGAGCAGCGTCTTTCGTATAAACGCAATGAAAATATATGCTGGCAAACGCAGCGCGACCTCCAACTGTTCATGACAACCAGGTCAGTTGTTACATGCTTCATTTTTTGCTCCTCACAACAGGCTGCTCTGAAAGTTTAGTGCGTGATATATGTGTAGTTCATCAAATACAGATCGACGCGATATCGGTGAAAGTAGGGAAATGCTTCGTTTGTCCACTTTTCCAAAATGTTCCAACAGATGGGAACTGTTTTGCTGGACCACTGTGTGAAGCAACCTGTCAGGCCAAAAAGTCGCATTTGTGCCCCAAATGTGTGGAAACAGAGGAAGCTCGCTTGGAAGCAGAAGCAGCTGCAAGAGAAGCAGAAGAGGAGGCTGCAAGAGAAGAAGAGCGTCGAGCAGCAGAAGAAGCAGCACGGCTGGCGATCCAGGAGGCTGGTAGGAAGGCACATGCTGCCATACGGGCTGAACAGGAAAGGCTGGAAGCAGAGGAAGCAGCTCGCTTGCAAGCAGAAGCAGCTGCAATAGAAGCTGAAGAAGAGGCTGCAAGAGCAGAACATTGTCGGACAGCAGAAGAAGCAGCACGATTCACAACACAAGAGGCTGCCAGAAGGGCTGAATTGGAAAGGCTGGAAGCAGAGGCAGCAGAGGAAGCAGCTCGCTTGGAAGCAGAAGCAGCTGCAAGAGAAGCAGAACAGGCTGATAGCAGTGGGGTGGGGGTGGTGCTGTGAAAGACAGGGTTAAAAGTTAAAGAGATCAAATTATTAAATATTTTTATACTATATATACGTCATTTGGTGAGTTTTCAGGATTCGGAGGGGTCTTGGGTCAGCAGTTAGACACAGATACCGTACCTGGGTACCTGGGCCTTTTGCAAGTTATTTTTCTACCATTGAGTTGCAGCAGGTCCATCAGCGGGAAGTGGAAGATGTTGTGGTGGCTTGGCCCAATCTTAGTTTTGCTTTGCTTCACCTTGTATACGGCAAAGTCGAAAATCGAAAGCATGACTGGAAGCAAAATGCAAGTCTGTTTTGGCGGGTGGCTTTTATCGGCAAATGTTCACAAAGAATTCACAAGGACATACAAAGACCATGTTGGTGCCATCACTTTTTTTCAAGTGTCTGACAAAGCCCACAGAGCGGTAGTTGGGTAAATCACGGATCATTTGTATCATTTTGTAGCAGGTCTATCAAGCACCTTCAGTGTCAAGGATCATTGTGCATCATGGGGCAGTGATTTCAAGCATCACACAGTGCAAAGTGAAAGGAACTGCATGGCCTGGAATCTGCTACCCTCAACGGCCAGGCGTGATAGGGAAGCAAAAGGCGAACATATTGGTAGATTATGCATTGATACATCTTGAAATCATGCTGATACATGTGAAATAGTTCAGTGATCACCCTGGTTTTCTCCTATTATTTTTTTTGGATTTCTTGCAGGCTTACGCAGTAGAAACACCGAATTCCAAGTTCCTTTTCCGCCCTTCATCCAGACATAATTTTGGAATGATCGCCTTACTGATGATGACAAAGAATTCACAAGGACATACAAAGACCATGTTGGTGCCATCACTTTTTTTCAAGTGTCTGACAAAGCCCACAGAGCGGTAGTTGGGTAAATCACGGATCATTTGTATCATTTTGTAGCAGGTCTATCAAGCACCTTCAGTGTCAAGGATCATTGTGCATCATGATGGCCCTTTTTGGCTATGGATCAGATCAATGAGAGTTGTACATAGACATCTGAAGATCGAAACCATACAATCTGAGAGGAGCTTATGTGATTCGAAGTTGCGAGGCAAAACCGCAGCAAATCTCCTGAAAATCCGCCAGGATCCTCGGATCATCGTCTCTGTGGGAAGGCTCCTCGCATCAGTGGGCTGTTTCCGTTTGTGAGTTCTCGGTGGACTCGCAACGGGTACAGATGGTACATGATGGTACCATACAATCTAAACAAGTACCATCCACAAGAGAACACATAGCTAATGTCAAGCCTCAATCCTTCTTCACTTCGTGATGCTCGAGCTTGTCATTTTTGACGCCGATGTGCCAATGGCAAAATATCAAAGATAGAGTAAAGCGCTGATCGAAGATGACTATCCCTCAGTCCATGGAAATATTCCCAATGAGAACAAGCAAAATATCAGGCTTTCATTTAGCGTCCTTGGCATCATTGCTACAAGATGGTACCTTGATGGAAGGTCCCACCCCTGGCGCACCGGGTAAGTCTACCGGATTGTCGCCAGCGAAAGGTTTGCCGGGGTGCAGGAAACCATCAAAGTTTTCGAGGACTGTGGGATGACTGTCAAGTGTACGCCCATTTTGATGCATAATATTGCATAGTCATATGTTGTTCACAGGGTTCATACCCAAAAAGCGGTAGCCAGGGGTGAAGTCATTGTTCACCCATCCAACTACAGTGATATCTTTGCCTGAAACCGAGATCCATTATATAACTTTGCGTGATGCACTCAAACTTTGCACTTGTTCAAAGTTCAAAGTCACAATAATTTTTCCATTCTGTGGAGTTTCGTTGTTTGCTTTGATGCAGTGATTGAAATTTCGACTCCATGCCAGGATCCCAAGCGACGCCCGCTGAGAATTCGGTGGTTTGAGCCCATCAATGTGTTTGAGGTGAGGGCGTTCGGCATGTCTTATTTTAAATATATTTTTTGAAGTTTTTCTTGCAGTTTTTTTCCTATCTACGTGAGGTGATTTGTGTGAAACTCTAAAGAAACCCTGAATGAAACCCTAAAGAAACCAAAGGTGAAACCCCAAATGAAGCGCTAAAGGAACCCTAAATGAAACCCTACCCTAACGACACCCCAAATGAAACCCTAAATTACATGAAATCCCAAATTACATGAAACCATAAATCAAAAGAAACCATACATGAAACAAAAAAAATCACGCCGCTCCGCGGCAAGGTCCGCCCGCACCGCTATGAAACAGTGTTTTTGAGGGTCAGATTGCCAAACACAGCACTATTTACCGTATTTTTTACAATGTTTTTACGCTCTGCGAGGCAGAAACCACTGCAAATGGCGATGTTTTTGAGCTGGCCGTGGCCGAAAACACCGCTATTTGTGAGGTTTTTTTTTCAGTTTCGCGCAAAGCTGTCAAGCTTAGGCAACGTACAAAAGCACTGTAAAAATCAACATTTCTGCCCAGCAAAAACGGCAAAAAACATCCCCCAAAGAGCTTCTAAATCGCAAAAATTGCTTCCCCGGCCTCCCGACAAGACACAGCGAAAAAAAAACACGTTTCAAAAGAGAAAAAAATCGACGACCAAAAGTGAAAAAACGCAGGTATTTTTCACTTTTGTCTTGCCGGTTCCGGGCGGGCGCGTGCACGAACATGTCCACTTCGTACTATAAAAAACAATGTTTTTTGAAGTTCGATGTCGTGACCCACGAAAAACGCAGGGTTTTGGAAAAATGCTTTCCCCCAGGTAAACATGTACCTTGCAGTTGTTTATGCCATCCGGATGTTCACGCCGTGAGCACCTTCGGTGCGGGCAGATTTCAAAAATACAACTGCATGAAACTTTCAATGAAACCCCACAACGCCCCAAATAAAACCTTGAATGAAACCATAGATGAAACCCTAAAGAAACCCGAAATGCAACCTTGAGGAATCCCTTCAAAAAACCTGATGAAACCCCAAAACAAATCTTCAATGAAACCATGACAAAAAACTTGGATTACATCTTAAAGAAACCCTAAATGCCACCTTAAGGAAACCCTAATGAAACCTTAAAAAAAACCTTAAATGAAACCCTAATGAAACCTTACATAAAGCCCTAAATGAAGCCCTAAAGAGACCTCAATGGACTCTAAATGACATCCCAAAGTAGCGGAAAACTACACCATAAAGAAACCCTGAGCTACAGATACTTGAAAGATACCCCTTAAAGAAGCCTAAGGCCCTAAATGAAACCCTAAAGAATTTCTGAAACCATCTAAAAACCCATTGAAGACCATCAAAAAATTGATGAAAACAATCCAGACATCATTGAAAACCATGGGAAAATCAGTGAAAACTAAGCTGTTTCAAATACCAGGCAAATTTACGATTTTACTTCCCCAAATTTGCGAGTTTAGCTCCGAAATGCCGCGGATAGATGCAAATAGCATTCAAATTGAAAGATTTTAGCTTGAAAACGCGGGAAATCGCACGCAAACCGGAGGTTTTAGCTCCAAGATATAGTAAATAGCAAGGAAAACTCTCCCAAACTGGAAAAAATCAATCAAAAAGCATCCGTTTTTTTCCTGACTGCTATGATTGCGATCAATGAATATGTGTTTCAAATTCTATTTCAATTTGGCTGGGTGATACCCATGTTGGATTTTGTACTCCTATCTTAAACCTTTGAACACGTGTTGGGTATTTTTCTACTCACCCAACTTCGAACACATGTTGAAGGCAAGAGCTTGGTCCCCCATATCTCAGATTTGTCTTGTGGGTCCCCGTTGTCCTCATATACCGCAAATGTGCCGGAGGTTTGCATGTCCCCTGATCTAGTGTTTTTGTGATCGTTTTCCAGCTCCATTTTGTGTGTTTGGTGCTTCAAGACAGAGCCAAAATGTCCCAGCAGCACCTTGAACTCTCAAAAACACAAACTTCCCTACCGCTGCATGATACCGATCTTTGTGGTATGGTGCTTTCGGACCCCTGAGCCAACTTCGTCATCTCTTGCTTTAAAGGGCTACTACAGACTGACTCGGAGAAATGGTGATCGTGGACAGAACCTAATTACGCTTACGGAAAAGCAGAACTTCCAAGCAGAGCCGGCCCAGGGGTCTGAAAGCATCTTTTTTTCCTTTGGTCTTATGATCGGATGATCCCTAAAACGAAGTTTACCAACCTGCATGGTCAATACCTGCATGGTCAATGCTATTTTTCTGCGGCTTTAGGATGCTATCAGCCATTGCCCAATTGACCAGAAATTGTACCACTGAGCAAGCCGCAACACCAGGAACGCCGCTTCGGGCCACACTTCAAGGTGCCAAGTGTTGGTGACAGGGCCTATAAAATTAATATAGATGAGCAAGATTGACCAAACAATTGGTATATAATCAATCTTTATTTTTTTTTTGCGGTTTGGGTATACTAGTTTGGTCATCCTGACCAACAGCTGGTGGGTTCTGAACTGTTTGGACAGTTGGCCGACATCTATTTGATGCATCAGCGATGCCCAAACGGGATCGAAATAGGACAGTTTTGAGTTCTTCAAGCTTTAGGACTCCAAACTATTTTGGTTGAGACATTCCAACGTTTGGGAGTATCTGCTGCTTTCACTGTCATTCATATTCATATGTCGTTTATTCAGTTTCATATGCATCCCTGCCTTGTGTTTTTGGTATCATTTTCATTGTGCTTGATTACTCCATGCCGCTTACTTCGCCAGTGCCCTGCCAGGATATCACCTTCAAGGCGCCAAGCGCAGGTGGCGGGTGATCTAGAGCTTCCTTGTGCGGTTTCACCGTGGTCTGGCAACCAGACTCCCTCTAGGATCTAGACGTGTCGTTTGCACGGGAGAAAAGAAAGGTGCGCCAGTCATTTTGCATCTGGTACGGGTGCAGGTGGTTGCCCTCCCTTTTCCTTGTGCTGAGCAACATCAGATTGAGTGTGCACTCCGTTGGTTGAGGTATGGCTGGCGTCGAAGTAAACACCCAAGAAAGAAATAACACATACTCAAACATTACAAAGCAGTCGGATTCCCACCTGAATGCAAGGTGGTGCTGCAATGTCGCAGACGTTATTCCCGAACTTACAATCAAAATTGTGGGCCACGAAGGGGACCACACTGAAGGGGTAGCAAATCCTTACCCAGCCATGCAATGTCGCGAAAAAGGAAGGCTGGGAAAAAACAGGCACTACTGAATACGTCTGGGAAGCCCTCGTGTTTTTTTTGACTCATTTCGCGAAAAAATAAGGCTGGGAAAAACCTGGCACCGCTGAGCAAGTTTGGGAAGCCTTCGTGACATCTTGACTCATTCAGCAAACAGCAGGTCTTGGAATTGGCTGCCATGGTGGCAGGCCAGGTGAAACAAAGACTGAGGTGGTTCTCAATTAGTGCAACTGATTTATTATGCTTCAAGGTATGCCAAGCGTGGAATGATGCGTTCTCAATCCAAGAATCCACATGGGTATGGGCGGCGGAGATATTGATAGGTGTTTGGGCAGTGGTTGGGCAGTGGTTGGGCAGTGTGGTCTCTTTGAAATTAGTTTTTCAGAGAAACACAGCTTGTGGCGAGCGGACCTTGCTACGGTTGTTGTATTTTGTGGGGATGAAATTCAATGCCAAACAGCAGCATTTGCCCACATGGGATGTAGCGATCTGACATGCCCCATAGGTCAACAGCATGTCCCTTGCCATCATTCCCCATGCTCTGCACAACAGATGCGCCCTTGGCCACACGTGATCGGCGAGCTCCGAGTCTGCCACGCTGCACCTCAGCGCTGCGGTCAATGGCAGGAGTGGGGAGCCTAGGGCCTCGATGCGTGGGACGGATCTGGTGATGTGAGTCCTGATGGATTTCGGGTGCATTGAAATCCAGTCATCATCCCCGGTTCTCATCCTGATAGTGAACTCTTCGTGAACTCTGAGGCTCGAGAGTGGCAAAATGCCACAGCTTTCTTGGAGGATGCTCTGGAAGTGATGGCGTGCACATTCAGGGAATCTGAGAGAAGCAAGAAGATACAACAGATCTAAAATTTCTACATATTTGATCATGGGAAACCTGAAACATGTAAGAATAGAAACAGGGAGTTGTGAGCCAAGGTGAGTCAGAAGCCTAAATGATGGATTCCTTCCAGGCACTTCTCTTACATCAGCCGCACATGGCATATTTATGTTTGGTAGCGCAGCAATTCCTTCTGATTTCCAATCTCATTGAATTCGGAATACAATCTCATTCAACCCCAGCAAACCTTGGGTGCTTGTTTCCTCCAGGAGATGTGGCGTCAGGGTCCGCGACCTAACGCAACCTGCCTAAATGCTGGCATTGGTGCGTGTTCTCGTGTCCGGACCTCATAGTGTCACAGGGGGATGCTGCTAGGCGCTCAGAACATCCCCCTGGCCCCTCGCGGCCCATAAATATTCCCGCAAATGACGAGTGCGGCGAGTAGGTGGAAACATCACCAACATGACGCAGGTTTCAGTTGTGTGATTTCCCAGAACAGCAATTGCAAGAGTTCAGGAAGTCAAGGGGGCATCCTGAAGTCATAGTGTCCCCAAGTAGATGAGCTGTCTTGGGGCATCGGGCATACAGTGTGACTCTTGGTGAGCAAATCATATGCAGCCAGCAGCAGGATACGATCGTTTTTCTTCTCAATTTGCAGAGCAGGCTGTTTCCATCGTTCTGTAGCCTGGATTGCTCTAGTCACTTTTCTTCTTTCTGGTGGATCCAGTGCCTGTTCAACCGGTTGTACGCGGCTATCTATCTTCAAGCTTGATTGACCTGCTGCTGAAACAGGCAGCAGTCAAGTCAAGCAAATCAATTCAAAGTTGATGGATCTTGGCTAGCAGTCGAATTCATATATATATATATATAGATAGAGTTTTGTCTGGGAAACTGCAGGAAATTCCGGCTTCAATGCGGATTGGAGTTGGCAATTTTGGCATGTGGCAACAGGCATGCGTCGCTGGCAACACCGCATCAATTCTTAGGAGCCTTAGCTACAAAACACACCTGCCATGCCGGCTGTGATCGAAGAGTACCAAGATCCTTTACCATGGAGGTGGGGCCTGTCAGCAGTGGACATCTGCAGCACTTCAGCCAGAAATCAAGGTGCGAATGAAAATCTTCCCCAGATTCATACCTTGGGTTTTATTTCATCTCCTATTCATCTCCTTTATCCAAGTTGAAGCATTGGATCCATGGGAAGAAAAACCCAAAGGCCAATGTGCCCAGGTTTGAGGAGGAAGGCAGGAGTAGCGAACTCCGCGCCCAAAGCTGGGAGAATGACCTGTGCCAGGTGCAGTTGATGCAGTTGGTGAGTCTCACCAAAAATGTACGCAGAAAAAACACCAAACATCACCAAAGAAGTTGGTACACTGCAGCCATTTTTTGATAGGTGAAGTTGCTGGCCATGCACCGCCCGACCCATGACTCAGACCGGGAGAAGGTGCATTGATTCTGGATGGGAAACCCTTGGGTGAAAGGGGTAGCCAAATTTGCGGAATCTCCGAAATGCGTCGAAATGCACCATTTTGGGAATACGAAAACATCACACATGAAGATGCTTGTGGGTCGGAAGTAGTGGTTGGGTGATGAGTTTAAATGGAACATGTACTGTATCCTTTTTAATCATTGTCTCAAAAGAATTCATCAACGTTTGGAAATTGGGTTATTGGATGGCTGGAGTTTACATATTGATCATAAAAATCATCCAAAGTTGGATCATTTTCGCATTGAAACCCATGGTGTCTTGGGGAGCCTCCATGACTTGGGAAACACCATATTGTGATTTTACAGAACAGGTTGTGGTTCAAAAAATCAGCTGGCCATGGTAAGGATGGGGATTATCCCTTCAGCTGGCACCTTCGCGGACGGAAGCGCAACTGGGAACTCAGGCGCCGGCCTTAGAGGCCTCAGAGCGGGCGCATGGAAGAGGCTTTCAAGTTGGAATGGTTACATCATGCAGGGTTTGGTAAATATCCCAATATTTGGGGATTTTGAAGATCACTTGAAACAGTATCTGTTGGAGATTATATCCCCAATATTTGGGTGAACAGTTCAATTAGGACATTTACCAACCCCTGTCATGCTACATCATGCTACATCCACTGAAAGTTACATCCCAACAGTATCTTGATCGCCCAAGCTGTGTGGAGGATGCAGCTCCAGTTCAAGGTGCTTCCCAAGGCGCAGTTCACCCTGCCTCGCTCCCCCTTGGTCGGGTGCAAAATCCAGACGCACCTACAAAACACCGAAGAATACTCGCAAGAGTAAGTTCACATAGAAAAACCAAAAAGTAAACTGGCTAAAATTTGAGTGAACCACTGTTTTTTTTTTGAAGCAAGTCTTCGGATTGAACCTTCCCAAAAAACATCCACAGGAGCCTCTGTTCTTTGCCTTGGAGCTGAGCCGTTTCGTGGAGGTGTCGGGTGTCACGCGCCAGGTGCAAAAGGCCTGCGCGGCCCGGGGGGTTCCCCAAAATATGAGTACCCCAAACCAGTTTTTTTTTCCATTCATAATCGATTTTGCATGATTTTGGGGGTCACCATTTCAGGACACCTCCAAATTTTGATAGATGTTGATAGATGTATTGGTTGCTCATTTGAAAGTGATGATCCCTTTTGATAGGATGATGCATGTAACCCAGATCCCAAAACACGAATTTAATGATCCGTATCGGCAGTTCATGTCCCATTTTTGATCCAAATGTGATGATCTTTGATGGTTATTTATCTTAGAATCCAATCCTACTTTGGTGATAGCAGGCTCTGGTGGCGGCATGCCAAGCCGCAGGGGAGTGTTATCACTCCAATGGTAACTCTGACTGCAAGGAGGAACATGAAGGAACAGAAAGCACAGATGGTTAGAGAACAGCCCGGCTTGTCCTTGATATTTGTTGATTTGGTGGCCTTTTTAAAATTTCTCCTTCAATAGTGGACTTCAATCCAAACTTCATTGCTCAGGTCAGGACCCCAGCACCCTGCTGGCCGGTCGGGAGTCAGAACCGCCCACCTTCGCCATGCCTCTCTATGCCTTTGACCAGTTTGAGGTCAGAGCTGGAGGAAGGGTCTTCGCCACAAGGGCGGGAGGTCCCCCTTAAACAGTTTCCTGATGAGTTTTTGGTGGTGCTTACCTGGTTGAGGTAGAGTTTGCCCTGGTGATTCCCCGCAGGTCTCCAGGAAGGGAACGGAGCCAGACCTGTCGGGTGACCTCGAATCCATTGGAATGCGTCGGGCGACTCAGGGCCGGCGCATGGTTGGTAAAGCCTGGTCCACAGGTCAGGGACTTCTTAGGGGTTGGGAGTGGGCAGTCTTGCAGGTAAGGGGTGCTTCAATAAAAAAAAATCAAGACAGCACATGTTCCAAAAAACCAAGGAACAACATGGAAGAAGCTGAGGGTAGCATTGAAGACTATGTAAGCTGAATCAATTCTGTTAGATGTTGATTGCAAGGCAGAAGCGATGGTGCAAAGAACTACATGGCGGCCCTGAAGAAGGCTACAGTCTACAAAGCTGAGTCTTTTGGGTCACTGAAAATGGACATCAAACAAACAGGTGTTTCTGAAAATTGGGATGCCTCATGACAGGTTTCACTGAAAACAACGAACATTTTCGGATAATCTTGGGGTGTTTGGAGACCTTTGAGAGAGGATGCCTGTAGTTGTGTTCGGAAGGGGTGAGTCCGCGAAGCATGCTTTGAAAATGGACATGGTGTGGATGGTACGTATGAGTTACCCTTGCATGAGTAAGGTTTTTTGTCCTGAATGCAGGATTGGAGACCCCCAAACCAGGTTTCTTCACTAAAAAGTGACTCTGATATTACAATTGCGGTATCCGTACGATTGTTCTTTTGCAATCCTTCAATCCCTGCAGGCCTTAGCCGAGCTCACCACTGAACACGTGAGCTGCTGAGCGGTTCAGCTTGACACTGAAGAAGTCAGGTCCACAAAAAAATGGTGATATATGATGATATACAGATACCCTAATGGGAAAAGGGAAAATCATGGGAATATAAGCATGTAAACAACAATCTGTGGTGATACGAATGAGTGAACCTGGCTTCACTCCAAATGTTATTCCATTTCATCCGGTTCAGAACAGGATTCCCTTTCCGGGGATTTTCACCCCATGCCCGGAGGTTTACACCTTCTGCTTCTGGGGTGTGTCACAATTCCTGGATTGCATCCGTGCGCGGCCCCAGATGGGTCCAGTTGGCATAGGATTCGATCCCTACCCGACTGGTGACCCCGACTAGGCTGGGAGATCACCGGGGGAATTGTTCCCGGCATGACGGTGGACTTCAATAGGCGGCGACGCTTGCGGCATGGGCTGCGGTTTTGTTTGGGGGTCTTGGATTTGTGTCTTTGGATCATTAGGATGTGAACCTTGGGACATCGGACATTCATTTTGTGAAGTTACTGCCTTGATTCTTGGGCCCCCAACATAGAGCACCTGTGATGTGGAAAGGCTCTGTGGCTCTCCACCAGTGTACTTCAGCGTCTATGAGCTCAAAGACTCAGGAGCCCTGTCCGTGCCGAGTTTCCGTCTTTAAACGTTCTAGATTTCCAAGGTGACAGCGCTGCACAAAAAAAAACCTGAAAAGCGAAGACCACTGGATTTCTTTGACTCACCTTGCGGTGGCCTGTAGGAAGTGAGAAGCGCCACTTGAAGTCCCGCAAGAGGAGATCCAGCTGCACATTTAATTGTCAGAGGGTTGTTTGGTGAGTTTTTTGCAATATGAGTTGTACTTTGGTTAGCTAAGGGAATCACAGGTAATAATATGAAGACTACCAGAACCGCTCGGTTTGAGTTGTTTCAATCTGTTTGACTCTGACAATTTTTCGCTTCGCATTCTGGAGTTCTGAGTTTGGCCATTGATTCCAATTTATCAAAGCTATGTGTCTAGGGGGGCAATGGCTTGCTTTCCTTGCAGGAGCTACTTCCGAGTAGCGGCCTGGAGTGCATTGCAACCACCTGCAGAGGCCGTGGGCCAGAGTTGGAGCCACAAGTATCACCGGGATGATCCGTGATTTGTTCGTTTGCCCATGGAAGCTGCGTTGCGGTTGGTTGATGTTGGTTGATGATTTTGCGATTGGGTTTAAGCCAACCACTCTTGTTCTACTATGTCCTGCTGTTCAGTAGATTCGGAACCCTTCGCTTCATTGGGCTCCAAGTCACTGGGTTTCTGTTTGCACTGCTGAAACAACAGGTTTTTGCATTGGTAAACTCACAACTGCTAAGCTGATAAGGGCTTGCAGTTGGGGTTCCTGCACTAGGGCTAAACAGCCAGCAGTTGCATGAACCATGGTGCATCAGCAGCTGAAGCTCCAGTTTCCAGGCACCTGAGAAACCGTTTACCAATGCCGACTTCAGCTGGGACGGTGGCATGGATTTGCTGGACGGGGAATTCCCTGGGAGTCACTTGGGGAGTGGTAAACCATGGTTGAACCTGTTCTGGACCTTCAAAACGACAGCTTGACTTGTGATTAGTGGATTGCAAACATGCAGTTTTTACACATGTTTTGGGGTGCACGAGTTTGATTCTCATGTACCTGCTGGGATTGGTGAAGGATGCAATAGGGTAGCAGGTTGACTGGATGAATGGCGGATGCCCCATAGAGGCTTCGGTGCATCATTGTGCGAATGGGCATGCAATTCACTGGCTTCTTTTCCACCACTTTCACACATGTTGACAAATTTCACAGCATCACTTTGCATCACCTCCGATTTTTTGCTGTTTGGTGTGCTTCCTCGTTGTTGAAACCCTACTGCCCGACTGGTACCGTTCAGAGTCCCGGGGCCTCCAGCCATTGGGCAGGACTTAGATCCCACACCAGCACCGGCCACGGGTGGGTACGCTGCCGCCGCGCCAAAGACAGCAGAGGCGTCTGTTGGAAGCCCTGGATGGCGGGGACGTGGACTTGGGTTGGATTGGGCCATCCGCGTATGGACTCCGCCAGCTATGGATTTGCAGCAGTGAATTGAAGACACAGCAGGGAGCTGACCCCAGGAATAGTATGGGCATTGTGACATACCTAGATTTGCAATGAGCCAGCGCCAAGGTCGACCTGCTGGGGCTGGGATGATGCTGGGAGCGAGAAGAAAAGCAGCCGTCCTTTGCGAGCATTGAACTAGACACCTCTGCAACAGGTAAGGAAGGATGGGATGATTTCTGATGGAGGGACGTGCTGACCTCAGGCTGCAGCCTGGCAGCCGGCCCTGGCTTTGTTGGAGTCAATGCCGGTGGCAGGCAGATGCTGCAGGGAATGCTGCGGGGATTCGGTGGGCGGGCGGGTTTCCAGGGTTTCCTCTTGTGGTACTACCGGATTTCTTCCATTTTCAAAGGCTACAATTTGGCTGCCATGACTTTGTTGGTCGAAGTGGCGGAAATGGAGGCTCAAGACAGCCATGACACATAGCATCCCTTGAGATTCTGCAGTGATTCCGCAGTGATGGTGGTAGGACTTGCTCTAGTCAGACAGCAGGGGTTTCGTGTCAGGCCTGGAAAGGAATGCCATCAGCTTCAGTGCCACCATCACAGCTTGTGCCCGAGCTCGTCATTGGCAGGAGCCTGGGAAGCAGACTGATGGGCGGTGAGAAGGATGACATGTGTTGTTGAAGTGATATTGGTAGCGAAAAGTATTGGCCACATTGATCGAATTCCTTTTCATCTTTTTCTCACCGCAATCAACAGGATTATTCTTTACCAGCAGCCAGTTTTTGGAAGGGGGAAAGGGACCAAGTCTCCGCATGGACGTTGAAGAACTGATCCATTCCATCGGTTTTGCTGGAAGGTGAGCTTGGAACTGCTGGGGAAGATGGAAGAGAGTAGCATCCCAGCCAGCTATTGACCCAGCCGGCCACAGTGTTGGTCTTGATGATGCCTTTCAGAAATAGTTGTCTCGTCAAAAACATGGTCATGTATTATATAATCATATAATTAATTATCACAATACATAATGTATATATATATAATAATATATATTATAAATAAAAACTATATATATATAATATAAAATATTATAAATAAAAACTATATATATATAAATATATATATATATAAATATATATATATAAATATAAATATATATTATATTATATATAATATGTATATATATATATAATTGTACATGTATTCTACAGTTTTCAGTGACTGGCATGATGCTGCTGATGCGGATGCTCAGCAAGCTTAGGGAGAACTGGTCGCTTAGGTGCTGCGACTCTAGGAGCTGCTGTTTCGGCCTGCGAGCGCGGTGGGGCACCCAGCTGAAGCTGCATGAGGAGCGGTGAAAACCAAAAAGTATCAACCACTTCACACATCACATGTCCATCTCTTCGCCAATCTATCTATATTACGAATTGTTACATATCATATCTCTATCACAATATCTATATGTTTATCTATTCAATTAATCTAATCTGTGTAATTTGCTCAAATCTGTCCATCGGTATCCCTATCTCCCATCTGATGCTCTGACTCCAAGGCGCGTACTGGACAGGTGCCATACACCTGCTGCAGGAAGCTTGGCGCAAGGGGCCGGGATGCTCGGAGTGCGGCGCCGTTCCAGCGCTGGATAGGGCATCATCCCAAGGGCCCTAAGATGCCTCCGGACTTGTGATGGTCAAGCCATTTTTTGATCCAAGGCGTCCTATGGGTCTTAGATGGTCTTGGATTTTGGTCAGCCGGTCAGCCGGTCAGCCATTTGTCCAGGCCCTCGCCCAATGTGCTGGCACTGAGTGCTGCTATTAACGCCTGTGGCCAGGGCCAGCGTCCGGAGCCCTGGGAGGTCCTCAAACTCGTGGAAGTTACTTTGTGTTTTTCTAGTGATTGGTAGTTGGGTAGCCACTTGTTTTCTTGATTTTTCCTGTGGTTTCAGGGAATTTCACTGCAATTTTTTGAAGCGCCCAGTTGTATTTGGATGGTTGGGATGGTTGGGATGGTTGGGATGGTTGGGATGGTTGGGATGGTTATATTGCGTGTGAAGGAACTGTTCTTAAGAGTTTTTATCTCCTGATTTGTTCATATTTGCAGCTGAAAATTACCCAGTTTCAGACCTGCCGTGAAGGATGGGACCTGAGTCTTCAACTACTTGGAGAAGCCCAGGGGCCGAAGACTCAATGGGCCGTGAGGGTTCAAAATGTGTCAAGATTTTCGTTTTTTTTCCACTAAAACCATGTCTTGGCATTGGCATTTTCAAAGAAAACATAGTTCTGTTTTTTGGTGAAGCTAGGTATCTGGGTTTGACCCGTAATGACACCACAGATCTTTGTTTATTGTCCCGATATCTTTTTTTGGGCTGACAAGCCAGCTTTGACCCACACCCACGTGACCATGACACGCGGATACATCCAGCGCCATCAATTGAAATGGTGGTGCCACGGAGATTGCGCATGTCAGCAGGTGTTTTTCAAATGTTCTCTGCTTTCAACATGGACAAAGAAATATAAGATTTTGGGTCACACACACAGGGATACTGCTTTTGAGATACACCAAGCAAAACTTCTCAAGTTCATGGAGCGACTTGCTCAGAGTCAGCCAGCTCTTGATGTGTCTCGTCCTGAATTTGAACCATCGAAATTGGAGGGACCCATGGCCCATCTTGAACTGGCTCATTCTCCATGGGAATCGTATCTCCCAATATGTTCCCTTCACCCACTTTGCCGAGGCACAGCATTGAAGCGGATGCCAGGGCCACAACAACCAGAGGAGACACTATATTTGAGCTGTGTTTGGAGTTTGGATACCTGTTCTAAGGGAATCACCTACAACTGTGCGATTGGGGCTTGCGCGAGAGCAAGAAGGTTTGCAATTTGCGGTTGAGGATGTGGAGTCTTGTCACTGGTGCTAGACTGATTACAGAATGGACATGAATCGGTCCGGGACAGGAGATTGATGAGAGACTATTGCCTTAGATTCCTTAGATAACAAGCAGAGATCTTTTAAGACAGTCATGGTTTCGTTCACTCCCATCACGTGGACATGATGCCATGGCCAGTCCGCTGATGCGCAGCGATTTTATCATTTGCAGGTGGGAAGAGACATTGGTGCTGCTGTCACTTAGCTGGATCAGTTTGAGAGGTCTGCTGATTTTATTGGCAAGTGATTATTGTGATGCATTGGAGCTATCACCTGACATTCTTTAGCGCTAGCTATACTTGTGGCAATTGTTTGAAGTGGACGAACTCCGAAGTGAAGGTCCGACATGCGAAATCGCGACCTTGTCCCAGACTATGTCACACACAAGGCGCCTATATGTCTTGAAATTTTGGTCGTTCCATCAAAGAAGCTTCTGTCCATCTCCCGCCCAAAAGATAGAACAGTAACAGTCATTTGCAGGTTCATTTGCCACTATAGTTGTAAAAGATAGAACTGGTGTAACAATTGTAATAACCCAATTTTTCCTTTTCTATGTAGGGATTGCTACACACTTCCCATGCCGCTGTGTCAGTTGGTGAACACTGCTGTGGCTGACAAAGGCCCAAGCAGCGGGAGTCGGCTGTGTAGGGGATTGGTCCGAACAAAAACACTCGGACCTGAGTTGTGATGTTGGTATATTTTGTTATACATTTGGCAAAGCTTGATGGTGTTTAGATATTAGATGTGTTTTATTTGATAGATACATTATATATATACTATGATATAAATATATACTATGATATATATATAATATGATATATATATATACATGCATTTATAATATATAATATGATATATATATA